TCTCAATCAATAAATGATTAACAGTATAAATATCAATTCACATCAATAATCAAATAAATAACTCAAATATATTTTACTTTATTACCAACAAAAAATAAAAAATAACTTGCCCCATTCTACTCCTATACATATAAAAATTTTAACCTTATATTTTTTAAACATAAATACTTTTTTTTATACATTAATTATTTTTGAACAATATTTACACGTATGTAGTGCTTCGTCATCGCTGTATCTGATCTGGTAACTGAATAATATTAAATTCCACTTACCAGCAGTGAAAAATCGACGAAACTTATAAAAAATTGCTTCGAAACAATGAATAGTAAACTAGTGAAAAAATATGTGGATTGTGATTATGGCAACGTTATCTATGATAACATGGAGGTAAAACATTATTATTTCTGATGATACTAAGCAATTCGTTACGTTCCATATCGAAAACAGCGGTTACCCCGTTGTGCCCCGTATCCCCATTCTACCCCTGGTTCCCCTATGTGTCATACAATTGGAGAGAAACTAATAATACATGGGAACGGTGTGATGACCAACTACATTCCATACGATACGTAAAAGCATCCACAAAGGTTAACTGTCAATTAATACTGTACACTAAATAAAAAAGTATTAGGTTACTAATGCTAGTATATTTGTATAATTTAAATAAGTCAAAAAACATTTTAAATAATGTATTTCAAATAATTAATTTTTGTTGTAATTTAAAATGTTATTAAAAAACTTAAAAACTGTAATATATCATTTATTTTTTAATTAAAACTTTTATAAAATGTTACATATATATATACTTTAATATTTATTGTAGAATTACTTTATATTTCGAGAAATTAATAAATGACTACATTTTTATTTAATGTATATCTAAGAAAATTTGTCATATGAAAAATATTTTATTATATAAATATATGCTGTGTAAAAAGGTAATGATATAATAATAATTTTTTGAATGTTATTTAATTTAAAAAAGGTGATTGACATTTATAAATTGGAAAATAGATATCCTTCAATAATGAACGTATTGTTTTGGTTTTCTCAAATATAAACAAAGAGAAAATGTCTTATTATTTCGTATGTAAATTCATTTAAAAAAAAAATTTGTGGGTCATTACTTAAAGTATGAAAAAAAAACCCAAGTAAATCAGAATTTCTGCCGAAATTTGATCACAAATCTGCACAAACTTGGAATAAACGAACAGGTCGATAATAAATAAAAAATTGGTTACTTATATATACTAAGTTTACTTCATAAAATGTTTTAATAAAACAATATAGACTAAAAGTGTGTTTAAATATAATTTGAATTTATTAAGCATGTCCTTAGGCCCCTCCCTCCTTCAATGTTTAATATCTTGGAAACGGGTTAGGCACAAACGACGGGAATAAAAGCACAAACAAGCACAAACTTTCAAAAATTTGAACTCGAAAGTCCGAGGTGGGGGGGGCTGGGGACATGCAGCTCAAAATGAGAAAACACGTAATATTATGCAGGTCAACTGTATAATAAATATGTACGGAAAAAGAAATTGATTGAACCTTAAAAAAATACAAAGAAAAGAAGGGAAATACGGAACATATGAAAAGCGGTGAAGACGATATTCAAACTTCTTCTCACGGCAACTTGTCGATCAAGTCACCATAGAGTTTTTCAATCTTCTTTTTGGCCCGAAACTTCGCAACCTCGTCGTCCATGACGAATTTCTCGTACACGTCCAAGCATATGTTGAAAAGGACCTGGTCGCGTTTTAAGTAGTACTCGTTCATACTCGATATAAACTCGACGCCTCTCTCGTAAAACTTGGGCTCCAAGTACACGGACAGCGAGCGCACGTTGCTCGCGGCCAACCATTCTGCCGGCATCGTCCGTGGCACTGATCTTCGCCGGCCCGCGGTCGACGGCTGCTGTTCGACGGGAAATGGAACCCTATCCATCTGCACCGTGATAATGCAATCGATTTCCTATAACGAACAATGGTCGTGTTGAACGAAAACGGACTGACATCGGACCTAGCGAAACCTTTTACACGTCACCTCTAAAACGATGTTGCGACGTTTGTGATCCTTCGTCCCGTCGGGAAAACAACGGTGGCCGACACTCGCCGCAGTGCACGCTACTTTTGCTGACTGTTTTCGGTAGCGTCCGGGATGAAGTCGAATACTGATTTGACTGAGAAATAATATCTTGTACTGCTACAGATACTTCATATATGTGCGGGTATTCGTGAGAATGTTAGAAATAGAACTATTGAGCTTTTGTTTTCCAAATTCGTACTTTGTGTGGTACAATTATTGGTTTCCTCGGGAAACTGTATTGTTATTATGTTAATTACACATAGACAACGGGGCAAATGAATAATTGAAATTATTTTCGTAACAGTTTGTTATATAAGCTGTTACGTACTCGTAGATTCCGGGAACACAATGGCGAATGGCAAAACAGAATCATCACGTCCTTAAGTGCTCAAAAGCAATCAGCAAAAAACAAAAATATTACAAAAAATATTAATGAGTTGTGTGTACTTCATAATTTAATATCATATTATTAGTTATATATTTAAAAGTTTAAAAACCATACAATTTTATAATTTGCTGTGTTTTTTGAAAATATAAAATGCTCTCATTCATTCAAAAAGATGGGCTATAAGTCACATATTATGATAAAAAAAAAAAACGGAACTTTAATATCTGCATTATATTACGGTTAATAATTACTGACTTTCCAATTTATTTACATACTGTATATCTATATGTTATGGTGAAAAATGAATATTGGTAAATGACGTCATTTATCAAAATGATTCGATTTTGTAGTTAATTATTGTAAAAAAAAAACCCACATTTAAACTCAAATATACATATTTATCCGGCCATTGAAGTCATTTACCAAGACTGGTGGTAATTGATGATAAATTTCAAATAATACATTGGGTTTTTTTTTTTTTACTATAAGTACTATTTAAAAAGGATTTATTGTTGGTGAGTGTTTCATTTTTTATTTTAGGTACTTAATTTAATGAAAGATTAGGTTAATTTAAATAAATAAAATAGGTGAATATCAAAAATTATTTATTTTTACAGTTTTGGTTACCATAATATTAATATTTTGAACTGCACAATATTTTTGTTGCATTGCAAGCACATTTTTTGGAGTTACATCGATTAAAATCTTGATTACCAACTTATTCCTTATCCTGCGACTATAAAGTTATTTTCCAATCTTTAATTTTTTTCTATGGTTTCATGTAGGTCTATACATTTTTTTTTACATGGGGAAATTTGTGCTCTTGTATATTTATTTTACAATATACCATATTCTATACCTGGTTCAAACATTCGAGTACTTTTTTTATTTAAAATTAAATAAAAATTATCAAATCAGAATTGACTAGCATAATTTATACATGTCATTTTCACAAAAAAAAAAAAAAAAAAAATATATAATAATAATACATAAATAATATATATAATAGATCTATCTACTTTCGGTCATGATATTTTTAACTAACGAAGCTTTGTTGAGTACCACTTATCACCGATTGTTCACACCGACATAAATGTATCGAAGCTCATTCTCCAACTGAACTGGGGATTAACGTCAATAACCGGCGAATGTAATAATTTACTAAAATTACCAATTGTGCAAAAATAATATATGTACGGCGGTATAAGAATAATAACACGGGTTACATTTATTGCGATAAAAAATAATTTTGTAGTACCTAACAAGCTTTTACGAAAATCAGTTTTGAATCGGTACAAACACTTTTGTGGCTAATGAAATTAGGGACGAACGAAAACAGTACCCGACTATTAGTGTTGGAGATATTATTCCGTGTACAAGAACAACATTTTTATAATTTTTATAAGTATACTGCCGAGTTGTCCGGTACCGGCTGGGAGAGATGTTTTATTATTTGATATTAAGGAAATCACATTTCGGTGTGCAAAAAAAAAAATGTAGAATGGACAATGCGCGAAAACATCGAACCTATATTCTAACGATTTTCTCCCTTATTTATTTAAACTGCATTAATTTATATTCATCTCGATCGTTAGTTATTAAAATCGACATGTAAAACAAAATAAAATATTTCCTAGACGACCAAAAATTGTCAACATCCATCAAGGAACACAACAGTTTTACGACGCATAAAAATGTGATTTCGAAAAACTATTTCTTACTGCTTCTATACAAAGTAATAGACAATTTCCGCAAAAATTTTTAATCGAATCGGTATGGAAGTTTGGGCTGTTCGTTGATCTCAGTAAGTGAGTGATCGATTGAATGAACGAGTGGTATTTCGGAACAAATCTAGTTTAGGGGCCAAGCTCGTTTTCAATTTTTTTTTCCCCAAAATGTGTGTTATAAGGCACTGAATTTGAATCTGTTTGAAAAAATTGCCGCTCTTTTTTATTACGGAAGTTCTACCAAAAAAAAAAACCGGAAAACTGTTGATTTTTTAAAATATCGTGGTTACCTCGATAAAAATAACAAAAGTTGCATTTTTGAGTAATTTTTTTTTGAAAATGTGTGTTTTTGTACGCTTAAGCTTTTGAGGCAATCACATTTTCCCTATCGTACTTACTGGTCGCACTTCAATGAATAGTCAGTTGCTATCAACCAGAGTTGGGCGTTATTCGAATACAATTTTATTTAGATGATTATTTAGATAACATTTTTTTCGAATGAATTATTTTACGAATAAATATACGTATTCTGTATTATTGAAGAATTTCCATTTTTATTTTAGTATTTTGCGATACGATTAGGTTTCTGCACTGTACACCTTTGACATCAAACGACAACGATTCGATATCTTATCTAGTTATCTAAGTAGTACGTAGTAATTTCAGTATATGAGTATATGCGTTCACTTTTCGATCAGTATTCGTATGAGCGTTATTCGATCACGTTTTTTTTGTATTGAGTCGGTGTGTGTAGTTTGTATAATATAATATTGTTAACTATTTAAATATGCCCAAAGTAGCTCGCACAAAAAGGTCAAAAGTTAGTATTTATTTGGAAGAATTTCCGAATGAAACTTGTAGGAGTGATGGACAAGTTTTATACTGTCAGTCTTGTGATAAATCAGTATCTATCGACCAACGTGGTCAAGTTATTCAGCACATCAATACCAGTAAACATAGAGGCAATAAAGACAGAAAGCTTATATTTCAACAAAATTGTATTTCTACATCATCCGCATCTACCAATAGTAAGTCAGTTTTTAATGATGATTTGTATCGTGCACTAATACGTTCAGACATTCCTCTTTTTAAATTGAAAAATGTTGCATTTAAAAATTTTATGGAAAAATATACTGGCCATAAAATTCCCGACGAGAGTACATTTAGAAAAAATTATGTTATTGGGGTGTATGAAGAAACTATTTCGAAAATTCAAAATATCATTGGAGATGGCCCTATTTGGGTTGGAGTAGATGAAACAACAGACACCGACGGTCGATATATCGCAAATGTTATTGTAGGAAAATTGAGCACTGAACCATCTAAACCATTTTTATTGTGCTGTGAAGAATTAGATAAATGCAACCACAAAACTATATGTCAATTATTTAATAATGCAATGGGTGTTTTGTGGCCGAATGGTGTAATACACAATAATGTACTTTTACTTTTAACGGACGCCGCGCCGTATATGTGTAAGGCGGGAAAAGTGTTGGACACATTTTATCCAAGAATAATACATTTAACTTGTCTAGTACATGGTTTTCATCGTATAGCTGAAACAATTAGATTTAAATTTTCAGAAGTTGATTCGTTGATTTCCAACGTAAAAAAAATATTTTTAAAAGCGCCAAGTCGTATACATACATTTAAAGATTTGTACCCGGATTTAATTCTACCTCCCGAGCCTATTATAACTCGATGGGGTACGTGGTTATCAGCTGTATTATATTATTCAAATAACTTTGAAAAGATTAGAAACGTAGTCTTAAATTTAGATCCCGAAGCTGCAATGGCAATAAAAAAAACTGTTGAGCTCATAGACAGTAAAAATTTGCAAAACAATTTAGCATTTATTTCGACTAATTTTGGATTTTTGGTTGATACTATTTCAAAATTAGAAACTTCTAAAATGCCATTAACGGAGAGCTTAGAAATAGCTGATAATGCCATAAAGCAATTATAACGGGTTCCTGGAGAAATTGGAGTTTTGACCAATTCAAAATTAAAAAATGTATTGGAAAAAAACACAGGTTTTAATACTGTAATGTCAATAAGAGACATACTATTAAACAAAACTCCAAATAACAATTATTCAGAAATTGAATACACTCCAAAAGAAATAATGTGTATGAAATATGCACCTGTCACATCCGTTGATGTGGAGAGGTCATTCAGCTGTTACAAAGCAATGTTAAGACCGAACCGCCGCCACTTTACATTTGAAAATTTCAAGCTATATGTTGTTTCTAACTGTTTCCCACATGAAGACTATGATGATTTAGAATAGATTTTTAATTTTTTTATATTTTTTAATTAATTATTTAATAATTCTATGTTATTTTCAATTTAAATATCTAAATATTATACATTTATAAATAAATATTTATTAAGTAATAAACAAATATATATTTAAATATTTTTAATTTTATACTAAATTATAATCCGTTCCGATTTATAACATTGTTATAATTAATTTGTTTATAACATTGAACGTTGCTTCGCTCCGCAGTTCCGTTCGCTTTGCTCACTTCACAAAACTCCCCTCGCTTGCTCCGCAAGCTCGTGTCGCACCCGCTTGGCTCCGCCGAGCGAATTCAAATTGAAAATATCCCCCGACTTGCTATGCAACACCACCTCAAGTAGGTCACAGGGTACATACTACATAACTACATACGTATCAAAAAAAAAAAAGGTATACCGAATACGTAAGTACAGAAAAATAACAAAAATGGTCCTCCACGCGTCATTATAGTAGTGTTGCGCGCATCCGTATAAACGTAAAATCGAAAACTTTGGAAGGCCATAACTTCGAAACTAAACGAGAGCAGCAAATTTTGATTGTACCATCGTTCTTGACTCGATGAAATACATGAGTTTCTATAAAAAAAATTAAAAAAATCGCTTGGCCCCTAAACTAGATTTATGCCGGTATTTCAATCATATGTGTTAAGATAGATTAACTGATGGTTTTATAACAGTTAAAACAGCAAATGACTGGGTCTCGTTTTCTACATTTGTTCAAATGTTAATTGTAAATTGCATAAATATATTATATTTATTATTATATTGTTTAAATATATTAATTGTTAATTATAAATTTATACCCGTAGTGTTGTATTTGTATTTGTATATATATATATATATACAAATACACATAAAAAAAATGTTCAACGAGTAGATCAAACAAAAAGAATAGTTTATTTTGTACACAAGAAAAAATATATAATATTTATTGTATAATAAGTATATACATGCACACTCATACGTACATACATCATCGATACGATAATAATACGAATACTATAAATTATAATAATAATAAAAATAATTATAATAATATTTTTGCGTTTATATCATAATAATGCACTTATAGACGTACACTTCTGAACGGAGGGAAAAAAAACCGAATGTCTTATCAGTATTTTCCACTCTCAAAGGTACACGTAAGTGGTGTCTAGAAACAATTATACGGCACTATGATTTAATAATAATATACATATTATTTTACCGGCTCGCCTCTGACAATATAATATAATTATTATAAACACACAATTATATTATAATTATAATAAGCACTCGGATACGTGCAAGATGGTAGTACAAATTTTTCCGTGCACACATTTGTATATGTATACATAAATATTAATATGCACTTGTTCAGTTAATACTCACGATTTTCAGATACACCTCGTACCTGAATATCGCAACGATTATTTACATTACAGCTCCACCATATTCGTCTCAAACGGATATGAATTAAACCCGATATCAACCCTTAGTCTTCTACCCCCGACCGAATTTCGTTTTACGATAACGGTAGTACGGTACATACATTCATATAAAAATATGTATAGCGTTACGGCCACTAAATAATCCCTTTGCAATAGCAGTAGGCGTATTATGCGCTCGGTCGACGGACGTTTACATATTTTCATCCTGCCGCACGAGTGTACCAATTAATGATGAAAACATTTCGGATTTATCGGAGTTCGAAAATCCGAATTCTTGAAATTCGAAATCAGGATTTAATTTCAAATTTATATTTATTAGAACGCAGGAATCTGCGATATTGAACTCAAAATTCGGTCGTTTAAATCCGTAAATCCGAGAATTTGGATTTTGGATACCAAAACCCGCATTTTTATGATTGAAATTCGAAATCATTTTTCGAAAAAAAATGTAACGACTACCGTGGTGTCGCAGCGAAACTGAAATAATGATACAAGTGGCTAGAGAAACCCGTTGGAAATATCTTGACACGTATTTGTCCGAAGTTAGTAAAAAAAAAAAACCATCCCGATCACATGATAAAATATAACGTCTTCTGGAACGGTTTTCCCTTTTTGCATTGTATTTTTCCAGTTTTCGCATGGTAAATTTTTTGACTGTTAATTTCTTTATCTCAGTTGTTCAATGACGAAGAAGCTTTTCGATTCTATTTCGATTTTTGGTACAGAGTTTCAATGATTCGTACACGACTTTACCTTCATATACTTGCACCGACTATTTCATCATACAACAATAAATACAATAATAGTAATAATAATAATAATAATAATAATAATAAGAATAGGTAATAACATAATAATAATAATATTGTAATGTCGAAAATTTATAAACGTGTGTAGCGCCGAGGAAGAATATCTCGTGACGGACGTGAAGATCGTGACAAGAACATCGTATCACTGCATTATGGGTAGTGACGCAGATCGGGCGACGCAAGTTCAGTCCGAATCGCCGCACGAATCGCTCAGCGACAGGCCGGAATAACGGCGGCGGCGTTGTCGGCGACCGTCGGACGGCAGCAGCGAGCACGGCGGTGGCCGGCGGCCGGGCGCTACCGTTGCCGCGGCCGCGGTGGTGGCCGACGAGGAACACGTGTATGAGTAATATTTTCCGCGGTTGGTGGTCGGTGCTGTCACCGCGGTGGACGACGGCGAAGGCGTGTGGTCACCAGAGTCGGTGCTCAGTGACGTGGTGGAAAGCTCGTCCAGGAAGTCGAAGTTGGAGATGGCCTCACGCTCCTTGTCGCCAAACCGTACGAAGAAGTCGCTGCGGCCCACGATCGACTGACGCAGACCCGTGGTCGGGCACCGGAGCACGCCGAAACCGTCTCGGACTGCGGACGCTGTAAAACACACGAGTCATCTATCAGTAAATATACTACTTGTTAGTGTTGCCCACGCGGGTCCTGCAGGACCGGCCGGGAAAAATGTCCTGCTACGAGTACAACGTAGTAGCGAATGGGACCCGATCACCGGTTCATCTGCAGGACATCCGAAAGAAGGATTTCAGCCGGCGCACACTAGACTGTTAAAACAAACAAATCGACTACGACGAACCGCGACAAAGGTATACTGCATGAGGACGCTACGACGACCGGATCCCGGGAAAATCTATATTCCCTCTATAAGCATGAATAGATTTTCAACTAATGAATCTACAAACATCGATTAACGGCTATCGAAACTTAATGAAAAATAGAAAATTGGAAATGTTTTGAAATTTCAACTAATAGTGTTATAGTCATGTGGACTAATAAAGTTAAAAATGTCGTCGCAATGCGATTAGGCTTTTAAATTTTCGTCACGTTCGGCACGTTATCGCCAGTCAACAATCTGTTTGACTGCAGCACCGCGGTACAATGCTGGAGACGACGGGAAAAAATTATTCAAAGATACGAGTATATAGACCCGAAACGTGGACTTCAAAGCCCGCCGACAATCCGTTGTCGTATAATAACTGTCACCGAACATCATGGAAAATTTGCTATCGTACTTTTATCTTACACGTTATCGTTGTTTTTTAAACAACGCGCGTTTTTTTTTTTTTTTTACGCGTCGAAAGCGTTTTCATCAATGTACTTTTTAAACGCATGCCGTAGACAATGTGCCACGACCGCACTCCGACCACGAGAAGAATTCTTGTGGTGATAAAACTCGACAGAAACGCACGTGCACACATATGTACAGTGCATCATATAACATGATTGTTTTTCATTTTCACTCGTTCGTTTTAATGTACGTGGACGCAGCAAGTGGGAATGCACTGCGGGTATTATACAGGAACCCAGTGCATACTACGCTTGGTATTCCGATAACAGTTCTCTTAGTAGTGTTTCATAAAACGTGGTTTAGTTTTTTAAAATCTAAAATTTGAGTTTTGTCTCAGAAGTTATATTAAAATATTACTTATATTGAATTCTTTATTTGTAATTTTCACTTTTCAGTTTTCCATACAATTTCATACGTGGTATAACACCTTTTCAATATTGAGCTACTAAAGCGACAATGCGATATGAAAAACAGTGTAATTTAACAACTGGTGAACGATATCATCAATTAATAAAAGATTTTGTTAATTCTAAATCGAAAACCAAAAAAAAAAAAAAGCGTTACGTGACTATTGGTTACTTAAAAAAATATGATGTTTTGGTCGCTTATAACATTAGTAAACTAATTTATCTTGTTCATTTATAAAATTTATCTTTTCATAATAGTGAAATACTTCTAATAATATATATATATTTTTTCTCAACAATAACCAAATTTAAAATAAATAATAAAATTAAATAAAAGCAACTAAAATCTTTGTACTTACATAAATTTGAGATTATTAATTTTTATATTCTGCATATATATTGCATATATTCTGTAAAAGTATTTCCCAATAAATATATTTTTGTACTAATAAAATTAATTATCTTTGGTATAGTTGTTCAATACCATTATTAAAAAAATTAACGGATATTCTTATTCTACACATTGCCAATATTTGGTTCGTAATTTTACAAAATAACTATGAAATGTATGTAAAAATATAAAATTTATATTTTTACATAATATTAATCGTTTCGAGTTATTTTATTTATAATTTATTTATAATTAGTTATTTTAAATTAAAGTAAATTTGTAGTATATAAAAACAAAATTATTTATGTCTCGTATTAAATGGTGTTTTAATTAGTATATGATGCAATGCTATATCTATATTTAAAAGTATATAGAGATTTTTCAATAAAAATAAAATTAAAAATTGAAAGATACCAAAGCTTTTCAAAATAATAATTAATTTGTAAATTGAAATATTCCATTATACGACCACGGGCATAAAACTGTAATCGCTTGATAATTATTGAATGACGTTCGTTTAATTCTACGCAGTTAATCTCCATAAAGCTTTCTAATTTGACCGGATTTTGCAAAGTCTAGATTTTTAAAACGTTTTATTATTCAAATTTCAATAAAAAGCATAAATATTGTTGACGGGCCTAGCGCACCCTTTTATATTCTCGGCCTTAGGGGATGAGTCCCTTGGGTCTCAGACACCAACGCCAAGTAATATAAATGGTTCTAAGAGAATATTTCGACATTTAAAATTATAATACAGAATCGGCAAGATATATAAAATATTTTATCGCGATATAAAAACCAAATTCGATAACATTCCTATCGAGGGAAATATAAAACGCTATAATTCATATTTGGCGAAGCTTTTTTTTTTATCATTTTCAGTGGTTCTGGATACACTAGACCAAGGATGGCAAATAGGATTTTTAACGTGCCAATCTATGACATAATTAAAAAAAAAAAAAAAAAATTAGCCGTGTCAAAATTATTTTTATTAATATATAAAAATATAAATGAAAAAATAATAATTATAATATAGAAAGTTATGTAAAAATAGAAATAATGAAAAAAAAAAAAATATTAAATTATTATTGTTGTTTATTAGAATAAAAATTCTAGTTGAAGTGAATACACACTTCTAGTAATTTAGTGTCCCACTATATTACAACATATAAATTATTATTTTTTAATAATAAATATAAGATAACAATACGTGGTTGTGAAATATATATTATTAGTATGTGCAATTTATAATTCAATTTATTGTATTTTACTTAAAAATCTATAAATATATATGGACAAGTAAAAGTTTTTCGAGTGCCATTTTAAATCTCATGCGTCCCACCCTTGGTACGTGTACCACTTATTTGCCACCCTTGCACTAGACCTAACTCAATAAATAATACGGTAATGTTTACAACGATCGTAATACAGCAAAATAACTTATCCTGTTTTTATTGTATTGTACTTAACTGTTAGTGTGACCATCATAACCGCGGTTATTCATAGACCACAGCGTTGGGAGATTGGATGAAAATCCGACGAATTATCAGTATTTTAAAAACAATTTCACATTTTACCTGCAATAAACGCGAATTGAAAATGTGCGGCAAATACAGTATTTTTTTTTCTCTATTGTGGTTAAATATTAGGTAAAACAACGTTTTTGAATACAAGAAAAAAATTTAAATAAATTCATTGTCTGCTAAAGTTTTTCATCGACATATGCCTGTATGCTTTATGGACGCCAGGCAGACATGCCTTACCGGTGTACCTGTGACTGAGACGTTCAAACGCACATTAGACCGAGGAAATAGCGTTTTCGTTTAACTGGTTTTGGAGAAGTTTTCCCGTTTTGAACAGGAAAATTGAACAATTTTTTTTTTTTAAAGTTCCTCATGCTGATACTATCCGACTCCGATTTAAACGCGATTCCTTACTCGCGCGAACTAATTTTTACGCGAATTATTGCGCTGGTCCGTCGTTTATCGTCGCGTGCGCGTTCCCCGCCCGGACACCGAATGTGTTTACCTTTTTTCTGTCTGCGCACCCGGTGCAACCTGTGCAGACGGTTGTACGACTCTTGATTGGTCGCGTCCGGTCCAACTCCCGCAATGGCCTCAGCGGCCGCGGAAGTCCGTCTGCCCTCGGCCAACTGTCCGCGCTCGTCGTCGCTACTGTCGTCGGTCATGTCATCCATGCCGGCCCCGACGCTGTCGCTGCCGCGGCCGCAGCCCACGCCACTGGCGCCACTGCTGCCGCTGCTGCAACTGCTGGTGTCATCGTCGCCCGCCGACGCAGCCGTGCTGCTCGACGAACTCCTGCTGGACGCCAACATCACGTCCAACAGGTTGGCTCTCTCCTGCGAACGGTAAACGCCGTTTCAGTAACAAAAGATAAGGATACTAGGACGAATGTAAGTCTTTACACTTATAAGTTTATTGGATTTGAAAAAATATGAAAAAACATTAAGAAAGCGCATAGTTGGTTTTGACGGGCCGTATAAGAGCGAGCGAAGACAATCGACTATCGGGTAACCGAATATTTTCGTTTTGAATTTTGAGCGAAGCAATGGAAAACGTAATGTTCGAATCATTAGGAGTATGTGTTTTTTATTTATTGAGTCCATCTTGACGATTTCGACCAGAACGATAGTACCGATTGCTATCTATTGCTATCTAAATGTTAGCGAATCGAAACCAATGGTGTATCGATTCCAAATCCAAAAGAAAAATTTTATGCCTCATCCGACATCTATACTTCAGACTACAGAAATGTATAGAGATGCTTAGTTATCCTTAAAAGTCGTGTACATGTTAGTCGTCTCGTCCCAGCATGCTCGAACCTCGGCCACGACACTGAACCGTTGCTACGATCTCCGACATTGATATAAGATGGTAATATCGTTCTACGAGTACAATTTTTACGCTCTTTGTGACACGTTTACACCGCGTACGGACGGTCACACGTGTAATAAGAATAATCATAAAAGATGAAAAATAAAAGGTTTTTTTTTTTTTTGACGACCACGTTATATTTTACGTACACTTTAATATTTATCATCGCAACGTCGGTCGTTAAATCTCTAATAAGAACGTCACCAGCCGAATGAAAAAAAAAAATAAATGATAAAAATATCGAACCTACAGAACGCATAGTTGTGCATACTATATTATCCGAACCGAGATCATTCGTCGTTTCTAAACTATTACGCGTGTTACATTGTTATTGTAATCGGTTTAAGCTTTGTACGCCGTCCAAGAAATACCACGTGGGAATGTATACACATGTATATGTATATAATTATTTTACACTAGACAGAATCGAGGTCAATGCGAAATCACTTTATAGCGTACACGGACGATACGATTTAATATAAGATATGCATACGTGTTATTTGTGCACTATATAAATAGTATCGAATTGAAGTCGGCGGTGTTCCGATAGTTAAAATACCTATACATGTATGTACGATTTGTAACGTTGTCAGTATACGCGAGGGATGAACACCGATATGCGTGAAACGTGTCGTAAATCCAATTACGCTCGGAATCGCAGAGGATTCGAAAAGAAAAGAAAATCACAGCGGTACACTTTACGATACCGTCGTTATTGTCGGCGAGTACGGGCGTAGGGACCATTTGTTATAATACAATTGTACCACACGCGTAACTAGAGACCGTCAAAAATCGATCATATCCCTAACCTGATAAATCGTATTTTTGGTTCGCCCGAGAACTGCGCACCGAGTTATACCGGTTCGTGTACAGTGCCGTCGGTAGGTCTTCGCGAAAAGTACGGTCTCGCGTCGTGATATCGTAAAAAATGTAATGATCTGTGCCGAAATTCCGTCGATCGACGACTCGAGTCGTGGCATAAGTAAAAGACAGAAGCTTTTAAGCGTTTCCATTTGCGCATGCACGTGTTTGCCGGATGGAACCTGAGGAATATAAAAACGCACCGGAAAGTACACGGCGCAACAACGGAACAACTACAGCGTAGTTAAGCCGCTCGCGAGAGTTGTCGACAATTGTTTTTTCCCAAGTGAAACGATAAGTCGTGCGCGTGAAATGGTTAACGACTACAGTTATAACGATTGCGTGACAGGCACTGCGGTCGACTACTTCTCGGGGGAAAAAACTATCTTTGTTCTTTATGCCTTCGAACCAAGTGCCCAGACGTTATATTATTATTATATGAGAAATAACGGGCCAGAAGAGAATCGCTACAACACACAGCGAGACAATGAAGAGTTGAAAAATAAAATTAACTAATTCCGTTTGACGATTGCAGTAACATAAAAACTATGTGATAATTAAGTATTGTAATTATTTAAGAAATGATTTTCGAATCATAAACAATTGATATTCAAATCGAATGATTACATGTTCAATGCTTTAAATATGCAAAACATATGTATACGTCGATATATTTTGAAGGTTGGCACATTAGTCTTTTAAGAATTCGACAATATCCGCACATTGACCATTTATGAATAGAAAGTAAAAGCAATGAACGGTCATTATATTATTTGAGAGGTCATAGAAACAGTTTGGATTTATTCGACGCGTAAAACAGTACATGCCGGAACCGGTTGCTGACGTAAAATTTGTCGACAAGCTTTGAATAATATTTCGGTAGTATTACGGATGCGGCAGGGAATAACAAAATGTTTAGATTCAACGGTTCGGTGTCATTGATATCGATTTAAAAAGTTAAAGGTTGAAAATGCTTTACGATTGTTTATTGTTTTTATTAGCGCGCCGAAAACGTTAAGCTTAATCCGGTTACCTTTGGATCGGCAAAGTCGATGTCGCGTTCGACGTGCACCCAACCGGTGGGACAGCAACAAGCATCGTCCAGGTCGGTTTGGAGGGCGGAAGATGACGATGAAGCGGACAACGAATGGTGCGGCGGGACCACGGCTGAGGATACGCTGTCACCGTGGACACCACTGTTGTCGTCACCGTACGGGTCGTCGGTCGCGACGGGATCGCTGGCCATGCGGTTTAGCTGGTCGATCAGGTCCCTGGACGACGTGGCCGTCCAGGTGACCATGACCGCGGTGTCGGCCGTGCAGACACTACTCGAACCGCAACCAGCACCCGGCGAGAGGGACGACGACGACGACGGCGGCTGCGGTGACGTGGATTTGGCCGACCAGCGTTCGTCCTCCTCCGGCACGGTCCGTAGCAGAGTGGACCGGGGCGTGGACGTGGCCGTGTGCGTGGCCGGAGAACGCGCGCGATCCGCATAACCGTCCTCCGGCAAGCACTCGATCTCCACGTCGCTTCCGTACAGACCACTATCCTTGGAGTTGAGCAGGTTGTCGCTGTAACTGTTGCTGTAGTCGCACGTCTGCTGCGGTTGCTGTTGCGAAGGCGGCGGTGGCGGAGGAGGTGGCGAAGGCGACGGCGGCGATAGTGAGCACGGTGCAACGTCATCGGCACTGGCGGCAGCATCGTCGCCAACGTAGCCGGCGGCCGTGGGGGACGCCGGTTGCGCGGTCGGCTCCCGTTTGTCCTCGGCCTGCCTGGACAGACAGTACTTCTGCTGTTCCGCGATAAAGTCCAACACGCTCTGCAATGCCTGTTCCCGGTCCTGTTGCGCCTCGGCCGCCGGTGGCCACCGGTGATCGCAGCCGCCGCCGGTCACGCTCCTCGAGGACGTGGACGCTAGGCTCTTGGAGCTCTCGAACTTCACCAGCCGGTAAAAGTCGCGCGTGAAGTCGGTTCCAACAATCGGTCCGGGCGGCGGCAGCAGTTCGATGCTGTCCGAGCAGCTTACCGACGACCGTTTGGACGGCGGCGTCTCGGCGGCTGCGTACTCGTCCACGCTCGACCACGAGTCACCGCCCGGCGAACCGGACGCGTACAGCGGCTGCTGTTGGTGCTGGAACGGTTGGTGGTGGTGCTGGAGCAGGTGGTGCTGATGCTGGTGCTGGACGTGGTGTTGGTTATGTGGCGATGGGTTTTGACCACCGTGCTGTGAGGTGTCCGGTCTATGTTGATGGTGCTGGAGGTGGTGGTGTTGATGGTGGAGTTGGTGGTGGTGGCGATAATGGTTCCACGCCATGTCTCTGGTCGAGCCCATTTCCTCGTCGCAGCCGGTCGCTGACGAGGTCACGTCGTCCTCCTCGATGCACGGTAGCGACTGCTGTTTGCCGTCTGTCGACGCGGCCGACGCGGATGACATCCTCTTCCAGCTCGAGCCCGCGTCCTCCATGGTCCAGTCCTCCAGCTCGGACGCGTCGTACTCCATCCGCTGCTGTATGGCCGTCCGGGTCTCGTCCAGCCGCAGCCAGTGCTGCACGTAGTCCATATCCCAAAGCTCACCACCGCTGTACCAGGACGTCCTGTCCTCATCCTCGCCGCAGCAGCCACCACCGCCGCCAGCCGCACTCGTGGCCCCCGTGGCCGCGGTCAGCTTCAGAAACAGGTGTGAATCCGAGTAGCTACGCATGATGTGCTGCACCGGCACCGAGGACAAGCAATGCAGTGGCGGGTAGCTGTGTCGTGGGTTGATGAAGCTGAACGACAGGCTGAGCGGCATGAATATCACGTCCGTGTCCTTGCTGTTCGACACCCTGCAAAAAACGTTCATATGTATAATTCTACGTGCATTTTACGGTGAAAAACGTGGTAAATGTTAACTAACTGTCTGAGTCGGGCAATCGTGTTCATTTTTAGTTATTTCTTTAATAATACTAACAATTTTTAATATAACGAGTGATCGCCATTCATCAATGTACCTATGCGTTTTTAATATTTTCTCAATTACGATATATGAAATTCAATTAGAATTTAACAATTACCGTTAAACCTAGTGATAATTATATTTCAATCATATGGATGAGACCAACTGGAAAGAGACGGTTACCACCTGTGACGGAAGAATATCGAGGAAGCACTGAGGAATCAAAGAGTATAACCTAATGTGGTATCCGTCACATGATACAGTATGATTTCCTACAATATCGTTTTAATATATATAATCAGAACCATGATAGATAACCATATAATTAACACGTATACGTTTTCATTTTGTTATTTATAATCATTTAGAAACTTCTTGTTTTTGATAAATATATTTTTTAATGTTTATTTTTAAATGCGCATCAATAAATATAATTTCATTTTTTTAATACTGTAAAAAGTTTAAGCGCAGATAAGTATTGTTATAATTATTTATAAAAAACCACGGTGAATGTATTCTGTATTCAAATATTTATGCTTATAGTATAACGGTTTAATCTGTTTGTTCAAAATGGATTGTTCGACATAAAAATTGGTCGGTAATAAATTAATTTTAAACACTAATTATTATTATTAATACCGAATGTATTCGGCAGCGTCTTATTATGTCATGGTGATCGTCTTCTCGGTTTCCAAAATGTCTCTTATGTATGGTACTCATCATATACGACAAGCTGAAAACGGATTTGACTAGTCGTTATACCCCCATAAAGCTTTTTCGTTTCCGGTTCAGTGACACACGAAAATGTTACTGTGTATTATTATACTTATTATAATTAATATTTTTGTCGACCAATATAGAAGCTAAAGAGGAGAGAGAGTCACGTTTGGAAAAATCTCGTTGTTTTCTTACGTCGAGTATTTGATTAATGACGAAAATAATTATATAACATTACCTAATGCACTCAAATGTGTTTTTATTCCATCATTAATAATATCACCTTAAACGGTTCGTAAATGACTCGGCTAACCGTTTTTCGGTTTAATAACGAGAAATATATTAATTGGATTACGCGTTTCTAATTTCGCCAACACGGCATTAAATCGAAATCGCTAATTACTATGCGCATTGCGTATTTAATTACCACGATAATTAGAGATTTTCTTGTAAGTACGATATTCAAGACCCCCGTATAATATCTGACTCGGAGACGGTTATCTTATATCGCAGTAATTGCGAATTATTATATTAAATTCAACGTTTATCGGAGAGGTTTATTTTTTACATACCATCAAATCTAATGATGACGAAAACCTAGTTATTGTTTATTTCTTTGCATTCTACATACTAAAACAGTCAGAAAAAACAAAATCTAAACTAGAATAAATAATCAGGATTTTAATCTGTGTATTTAGTGAATACACCTTGTACGTAAAATCTACTTTAATATATGAGAATCTTGTTTCATTTTCACGATAAACTGTAGCTCCACGAATAGTTCAAATGCTTGTAACGAACATATTATTAAATGTGTAAAAAAAAAAAATCAAACATTTAGAGAGCAAGGGTTTTCTGATCAAAAAACTTATATTATACATATATTTGTACCTGGAACATGGCGAAGATTCTATGAGAGCGTTCGATTCGTTCTCGTTGGCCTCCTTCACGTCTTCCAATCCTTTGGCAGATGGTGGTTCGGTACAGGTTCCCTGTACGTCGCTGGACATGGTTGAGTACCCTTCGTCTCGGTTACCACTCTCGGGCGTCTCGTCTCCCAGCACTCGATCGCTTTTCGTTGACTCTTCGGCTGCGCAGTAAAATAAACAGAACACATAAACATTAATCTTTGTATTTAAATCAATGTCAGATAGCGTGAATTGATAAAACTATAATAATAATATTAGACTGGATTATTAATATGAATAGACAATTTTTTGTCTCTGTATCTCTATTTCTCTCTCTTTCCCTAAAATGTCACTACGAGCGACAAGAACTTTACTAACTACATCCGTTACTATATAGAACGTTTTCAAAACAATAATTACCGTCGTGCGAACAACATATTTCCAAATTTAACGATTGTGGTCTGTGGTATGAGACTGCCGTCTGCCAACCGTCATTTTTTAGTCTTTTCGATCCTTTGGTTAGATCGCAACTTGCCGGTCGCTCGATGGCCATTTTCTAAGTGAAAAAATATGTTTATAAAAATTATTATTAATGGTTTATACCAAAACGCAACAACTATTTTCGTATTGAGAAACTACTCGTAATTTCATCGTACGCGTAGCAAAAATGTTATCGTCCTGTATTGTTCAGATTTACGTATTTGTTTTTAAATAAGAATGGTAACGCAGATCCTTTTTGATAGTAAAAATATAATATAAAATATAATCTATCTAAATTATAATTGTATTACTCTGCATATGTATTAAGTAAAACTTTATGATGCACTTATGTACATATATATATATATTATTATGAACAATAATAATATGAACACTGCTTTACGCAAAATTAATTTGCGAAAAATACATTTGTGTAACAAAAAAATCACGAAATAATTTGATATTTTTCATAAAAATTAACTGTGTACTTAAGTCGGTTGAAAATCAGTATCGCACTATCATATAGATAGCGAAAAAAAATCAAGGAATAAAATTAAAACCATCGATTAGTGCAGAGTACAAGTTGCGATAATTCAGGTATACTCACCATAGACGGTGATCGGTGAATATCGAACATTACCGATCTACTCTCAGCCACTGGCATCGTAGTAGGCGAATAGTTTATTTTCTGACCCAAACGCTGCACCAGAAGCGTGGACAACGTGCAGTTTCCGGTCTCGAGTTCTTTGACCCGGTGTTGGAGTGAAGATATCTCTTCCCGTAAATTCTAAAAAAATCAAAAGAAAATATATGTTATTAGTACTTGTACCAGAAAAAATAATAGATGTAACTGTAAGGCCATAGACGCAACTAAGGGGGGGGGCTTGGGAGGGCTTAGCCCACCCAGTTTTGTCCGTAGCCCATTCAGTTTCACTACAGAATAAAACATCAACTCTTGGTTTTTCTAAAACTGTAATTTTTGGTGTAATTACGACATTTGAAACTCTATGACCTGAAGATGAATTTAAGAAAATATGGGAATAAATAAAAATATTTGCTGAAAAAAATGACATGTGGTTACAAACTCCATTAACTGGTGTATATATTTTGTGATTTTGATAATTTGTTTTATGTTTTTTAACCTAAATAATACATACAAAATATAGGATCAAAGCATCGCAGAAGAGAATCAATTAACCTTCATGACTATGTATTAACAAATACCATGGTGGCAGAAAATGATTCATATTCGTCATAAGCAAATTATGTAGAAAATTATTGGAAAACTTTTACATATTTTTTTATTATGGACAGTGTTATTTTCAAACTTAAATATAGGTTTTCGGATGAAAGCTTGGCTATGGCCAGTTCAGTTGTAGGTCATTTTGTAAATTAGATACTTCAATGAAGTTTGTTGATTATTATAAGGTAATTTGGTAATATGTATATAAATAAATTTTAATCGTATAAGAGATTAATGGTAACTAATTAATAAATTAATTATAATAATTATAACTGTAGGAATTACTACATATTTCAAAAAGTAGCTTAGAAGCAGAAATTAGAGTAGCACTTAACCTTTAAATAGTAAAAAAAAAAAGATTTCAATATAAATGATGTCAAAGAAGTCGAAAAACAAATATTTCTAAACCTTTCTAAACTTTTACAAGTGACTTTATCTATTCTTATAAATTTAGACATCTGTGAAAGGTCGTTTACTCAAAACATTGGCTTTGATCTTCTATGGCCCATGATCGATTTACAAATTTATCTATTTTAAATATAAAGAGAGATGTAACCAACAAATTAGACGAAAATGAAATTGTAAATAAGTTTGCTAAAATAAATAGAAAAATATTGTTAATTTAACTAAGCTTTATAATAAAAATTTAATAGCTATGAACTGTATATTTCATTGATTATAAATGTATATCCTTCTTATTAGTGTTTATTTAGGTATCTAGTCTGTAAGTAGTAAGTGACTAGGTAAGTGACAACATTTTTCTTCGAAATAAACTATTAACGACTATAGGTAAGGTCGTAAGGACTTCTAATTCATATAAATATAAATATTAGTGTTGATAATCAATATTGGGGGTGTGGGGACGAAGCCCCCACGGGTTGCTGGTATCATTAAAATTCAGCCCACCCAGAAATTGAACTCTAGTTGCGCCTATGAGTAAGGCTATTACATATCTATGTATTAAAGGAAATTTTCATCGACTGTACGAGGATTTATGATGTATGAAAGATAAGCATAAAAATAGACATAATTGGGGTCTTAGAATGAGATTCAAGTGGATACGAAAAATAATTATTGCATCTGATTGGTATTTGATATAAAAATTATTTGATTTATAATCAATTGATAAATCATATTCGTCTAATGTTTCAAGAAGAAAATATAAAATTTTCAGCTTTATTATGGGTTAGTGTTATCACATCTACATCGTTTTGTCTTTAGAATTTTTCCTCACTGTTAATCTACAAGAAACAAATAAAAGTGTGATAAATAAAATGATAGATTATTTTGAATTAATTCAATAATTTCCAATATTAAAATACAACTATCTACACTGACAATAATATTTTATAGTGTTAAAAACATTTAGAATAAATAGTTTTTTGTGTAACAATTACAATAGGGAAGTAAAAAGAGCGAGAAAATCAGTCGTCCATTTAAAAGTTTTAACAGAAGATGGCGCCTCGTAATCACACGCGATAATCTACGAAACACGTGACATCACTTGAAACGTAAGTCAGCTGTTCCCTTGAATAGGTTATTTAGAAAAATGCAATGCATGTACTCATATATTTTTGTACTTTTGAAACTCGTTATCCCGAAATAGAGGTAAATTCAATCAAATTCTATTTTATTGGTTATTGATAGGTGAATATATTTTGTGTTACTGTTTACAAGAGGGCATATAAAATAACGGTTTGATAATGATACAATACAACAAAAAAATGTGAGTGTATAAAATATCCATGTACCCGTACAGTAATTAATTGAAAAATAATCGGTTATTAATTTATTTAATTTCGGTTATCTAGCCACCATTCTTCCGTGCATATACCTGCAGATAACATGTTGATACTTGCTTTCTAAGCATTAAGCTTTAACGTGTGAAAATATGTAACCAAACGACCCAACTGCCGTACTATTACTTGTTAGTAGCATTTTTACACGTTAAAATATTTTATGCATTTTAAACAGTTTATGTGGAGGCAGCGCTACGAAGAAGAAGATATATTTGAAAAAATGTTGAAGCATATTGCGGAATTTCGGCAGGTTTAATTTGTAAAATAAAATGTACTATGCAATAACATATTCTAGTATACATAAATATATTTGTATATTAAATATCCTATTCAACCACCAAATAATAAAAAATAAGCCGGTGTATGCCCAGAAATATGATAACTTTAATGGCTGCTAAATTACCGAAAATATCCAAATAATCAACGGAGTTCTTCGAAATTAAACTGAATTTCTAACTTAACCCGTATGTATTATTAATACCTATCTATAAATAGAAATATAATTAAAATTGTTATTCATTTTCTTAAATTAATTTTTTCTTCGGTCAACCATGTCGCCGTACTACTCTGTACAAGTGAAAATAGACGTGTCCGAACGTTTTAGTTAAAATTAAATAATATTTTTGATATTTAACTAATTTTTACGTCACGGTTTTTCGTTATATCATTACAGTGCGCTTTGAATATAATGCTGTCTTTTTTTTTTCCTTCCGACGATTTTTGAATGATAAATTTCAGTTTCGTTTTAATTTTTATAGCTGTACATTACATAATGTGTGCACATATTTTACGACGTTCAAGTTCTGCGTCTTAAATAACTTGCACCGCGTAATAAAACAATAACCTTTTCTCAGACCTTTACCTGAATCAAGGGTGAGAAGAATCAATGTCTCGTTAAGTATAAATGGTTTCATCTATCGGTTAACAGGGACTGTTTGGTCGACGAAAAGTAAACGATAACGTTGTTAAAGTTATTTACGCGCATTACTGTTCGCAGGCAGCACCTGGGGAGCGGTGGAAAGTCGAAGAAATCGGAAATAGAACGTCAGTAACGGGGAAAAATACTCAATGAGTTCCGAACCAAGTGCACAGAAATAATTCTATCACGTCTCGGATGTAACCTTATAATATTCATACCATCTTGGTGTACAATCGAACCGGATAAAATAAGTGTATATTAAAAACTAAAAACAAGGTAGCACGGCGTACGTAAGAACTACATATAAGAAATAGTAATAACATGTCTGTTTCTAATGTAAAAAATAATTAAGACCAACGGTTGTTATCGTACTAAATATTATTGTAGGAGCAAAAGTTGGAAAACGTTTTGTTAAATATGGGTGTGATTTTTATTATTTTAAACGAGGCTGGAAAACATTTTTATAAGAAGATGTATTTTTTAATTAACATAAAAAAAAAACTTGCTAAGCCGATATCCTTACTGTCACCGTCTCGGCAACATTTACCTTTAATATAAATCGCGGAGGAACAGTTGGTCGCACATGCACACATACTCGTATATGTTTATTTGTTTTAGTTTATTTTTGTATTAATCGTACGCTGTGAATTATATAATATGTAGATATGAAGTATAGAAATGATATTGTGATGTTTATGAAGGATCGATAGACATGGAGGGAAAATATGAGATACTTGATGCTTGATGATAATATTACAATGTACCCTAGTTTATTATATAATAGGAAACTTAAAACGTATGCTGTATGCTGATTTTGTTGGGGGGGGGGGTGGCATTGCGGTAGAAATCTTATAATTAAAATAAACAAAATTCTATACGTTTCAGTATTACTTTTAGTACTTCAAAAGTGAAATACGAGTTGTTAATCAGTTTGAAAAACTCTGTTAGGTACAACGCAAAATACATGCAGGCTATGAGTTCTCATTTTGAGTACATTTTTTCGATTTAGTTTTAATATTTATTGAAAATTACATTTGCATTAGTCCGAAAATAAAAACTTTACAGATTATTAAGTTTATAATTAGTAACATATTCAGAATTTTTAAACGAGAAAGGTTTTTTTGGGTAAGTTCGGTAAGAGAGGATTTGAGAGTTATTTATCCCCGTCTCCCACCAAGCTTATAAATGTATTTCCATAATTTTGAAATAATTTTAATAATTTTTATTAAAAATTTAATTTATAATATCATAATAATAAATTAACAGTGGTTAGTTTCGGTAGCATAACCGCGATATGACAAGGTATAAAAACTATTGTTATTATAAAATCATGGTGTTAGACGAGAATCGCTATAATATTCATGATAATCACAAAAAAGATAGTGATAATCACGTTAAACGTAATACGTTTATGTACCAATGACAAACATCGGTTAATAAATGTAATAACTAAATTTTAGTTACTATCAAAGTTTAAAAATACTTAAATACCAAATTCTAGTATACTTATATGGTACACACATATAAACACGACCCGTTAGAGAATGCTATAGCCCTTTTAGTCCCAACCATTGATTATGCTTATAATTATAGTATACCGTCATAGATTTGTTCCGAATACCACGTTATAACGTGGTAAAATTCATCGAACAGCATATTATGTAAAGATTGAAAATCAATAGGTTATTACGGCTTTTCGGTAAATGTCTGTTGTGACGGATATGCCATTAGCTTTACAGCGGATAATTGGTCATTTTGATAATAATTACTACCGGTCTCTACTTCCGAGTGATTGTGAACAACGTTACAATCCGAATAATCGAATACGATAATGTAAACGTGCATTATAGTTCGTATTGGCAATTTCCAAAACAAAATTAATCACACAACTCTCCTACTAGTCAATAGCCCACCGAGGCCCTCTACTTCCAATTGTGTTGCAATATTTTTCTTTTCATTTTTCAAATAATAACCATCATGCAATGTGCAATATTTTTAAATCAAAACTATAACACGGTCTACACAGTATAGCAGTTTGATCTATTGTGACAAATTAGTTACTTTTTTTTAAAAAACGATATAGACTCATTTTTGACAACGGGTTAATAAAGTGTAGTAATACCTTTTGCGACAAGACCGCTTTGACCACCTGTTTGGCCACGTCGTCCAGACACTTCTCGTACTGTTTGCGTTGCTGTTCACCCTCGCGTTCGATACGACTCTTCTCGTGCTCCAATATCCGAAGCCGTTCGACCAACGCTTTTTGTACTTGGCTGATACCCTTAAAATGAACAACAAAACACACAGTTTAGCAAACTCAAATAGCTGGTGTAAATAATGTATTTGTTTATAGAATGCTGCAGTGGCGGCCCGTCAGTGTTTATCGGGTTAGTCACGAGGGAAAACATTTTGAAGTTCTATTTTTCCCGACCAAAGGGCGCAACTCTTGTTGATTTTACGTTTATGTATTCTTTTTTTCTATATATTACTATGATTTTGTTTGTCTTCGCTATTAGTATCTATTCGTATACTGTTTGTCATAGTTGATCGACTAAATTACCATCCCTTCACAATAAATATCGAAAACAAAATATATTTTTTTTCTATTTAAAAATAACCACCCTATTTTAGTAATCACTTTTTAAATAAATAAGAGAACGATCCCAGATGAATTTATACCTCGACGTATGTATAAATAACAATTTTATCGTGAACATTTGTTAGTAATAAGCTTATCATATTCATACTACGCAATGAAAACGTGGGAAGCCTATGATGAATATTATATAGATACAGGTCAACTCGGATTACTTTTGCTCTCCCAGGAGTTCAAATTATCGATATCTTATATTGATTGTGTTACAATACATTGATGAGAATTGAATATTATCGATGTGTATGAAACGTTTGGTCGGTTGAAAGGTTGTTGAAACAAATCAATACGGTATACGATGATATTATTTTCTCAGATGTCTGTGTCCGGAGTGAATGCTCCGTTATAAACTGAACGGATTACATAAAGGTTGACGGACAAACATGACTACTTGCAATGAAAATGAATGTGCTTCAATTTTCGTTTTATTTTACGACCATTGCACATATCACGCGGGCTGTATTTGGGTGACCGCGGTCATCGTCAAAGTCCCTCGGAAATATCTCGTGATATTTTTTCGGTCGATAAACTCGAAAAATCACAATAGTTCATATTATTATTTCTCTGAACTGTTTCTGTTGCTCTCTACTGACACTGGGCCGCCACCGAAGCTGGTATTTCAAAGAATAAACTTCGATATTATTAACAGTGGATAAGTAGTATTAGGGTACGGGAGATCATATTACTAAAAGCCTTATCGCTTGTATATCGTTACCGTGGCCTCGAGTGTGTTGATCTGTTTCTTCAACGTTTCGTTTTCGATTTTGAGTTTGGTGATCGCGTTCTGCAGCTGCAGTATTTGGTTCTGAAACGAAAACAAAACGAACAATTAGCGACCGCGTTATCGATACGGACGCACCCGGCGCGCGTGCATGCACGTATCGTGTGCTAACACCGTTGATTAGCATAATAATGCGAAATCGCATACGCAGGGGTGTTATCCCCGAGGCGAATGCGGCGTTAACGATTGGATTTCGTGGCACGCGTTTAAGATGGTCGGACTGACACACGCACGTGAAATAAACATAATAATTACACAAAATATAATACAATTACACCAGCGGCGGATCCAGAATTTTCTTTTGAGGGGGAGGGGGTTTGAAAAATGTTTTCCCTTGGGATATTTTTTATAACATTGCAGTCAGTGATTGACAATGAATTAAGATAATAGTAATTAAATATAATACATTCATTTAAATCTAAGACTAATCATTTCTTGTATGAATAAAAATACAAATTATATACTTTCCCTCATACTTTAAAAAAAAAAAAAAAATATTTTTCTTAGTTCATAAAATTATTGATTTTTAATATACATTTTTCCTGATTTGGAGGAGGATTTAACCCTTCCCCCTCCGTGGATCCGCCACTGAATCATACGATTATTGTGTTGCACGCGCGTTCACTCGCAGCATCAGCTATGGTTGACGGGCATGCGCGTCTGCGGATAGACGCTCCCGTGTGCACGCGGTGAAATACGACTGCGGAAGATTTATAGTCACCTGGCGGCGACCCGTCGTCTCCCGGACGATTCGCGGAGAGTAAAAAGTCGGAGCCGTTGGAAAAACATCATTAATCTTGTAAGCCGCGAGGCTCCCCGGCCGAATAAATAAATAAATTGATACGCGCGCGCGTGTTACCTCCCCGACATTTTTCTCTCTCGGTGTCTTAACGCCCCGAATCCGCTGTATTTCTATTCTTCATCCGCAAGACCACCACATGCAAATACGCATCCATCCACACGCACACGTGCGCATATTTACTTTCACATTCACGCGTGTAGAGTTTACGGCCTGGTAAAGACCTCTACTCACCGCCGTGCCAACCCCTTCACAAAACCGAAATAAATCTATACAGCTTCGCGGGTCTTCTGGACGTATTGCCATGCAAATGCTTCGATCCCTAGAAATAGCGAATTGACGTCTAATATAACCGCGATGAAACCGCCCAGACGCGATCAATTTTCTCTGGATATAATACCGCACAAGTACGAATACTTTTTTTCAGTGCATCGCGGGGGATCGGGTGGAATAAAATCTCAGTTCGACGATAAAAAGTTGTAAGGAGACCATGAAATATGTATTCGATACAAATTGATAGAAATTTGAATTTAGCCGTCGATATGGATTATATATATATATATATAGAAAATTATCGGTAATCAACAAATATAAATAGATAGGACAACATTGAATACCAAAACCGTATCAAAAAAAATATCATTTTTAAAAACTAACATTCGAACTCGTCTGTAACCATTTTTATTGCAAGCATTCGAGTACTTAATCTGGAATAGGAATTCATATTGAAAACCCTCGTTTAATCCTTCATTATATTAAAGCGAACTTGGCCTTTTTTGACCCTTAAGCCACATGTATATTATGGGTTCCAAGCCGAAAAGGACGCAAATAAATTATCTGCGAGCGAGCTGCGAATAGTAAAATCTTCTATGTGTATAAAATTCAAATACTGATCGGTGTACAGTCAAAACTAAAATACCCAATTTTTTGAAAATTTGGGGGAATATACTTAACACTTTTTATAAGTGAACTAGAAGATGTTTCTGAAAATCAAATTTTTATGTGTCGAAAAAGAGCTCCGGGCCAGACATGTAATTTATTTCAATTTTATAGTTACCTAAGAAATATTTAATTTCGCTTAATATGTATTGATTATAATAATCTTCTACGCAGCTATGATAATTAATACGGTACACAGTATAAATATATAATACGAAGATATTATTTTTAACGATTCAGCTTTTTTCCGAAATAAATCTGATTTTTTCATTGCAATTGTAATTTTTGGCTCTTATCTAAAATAGAATAATATCTCCCGGGCGAGGTCGGGTAATTCAGTATAATATATAAAAACGCCCGTAAATAATAGTTTAAAACGCGATAGACTATAATCTTCTGGGACTAAAATCAACACATTAATCATCATGATATATTATTTTTTGTTTCTTTATGTTGATCGACTTTAACCCCAGCGATGTATACATGTACACAAATATACATTGTAATATCTTATGATTACTGTGTCGTTATTTTATTACATGTTTGCGTGATTTCTACGAATGGTTACACTACCCAGCTCCGAGCCGAATACCTTTGGCTATACATTATGCTTATTCGACGAGACACGACCGAGATCGTACTTTAATAATATTGTGTGATACACGTATGAGCGTAAAAGTAAATAAACATCCCGCTGCCAGTTGTATACATGTTGCTGCCGTACGCGTCAAATCGGAAGACTGATCAAACTTTCGTTCGATGGGAAGACCGAAATACGTACACGAGGACTGTACCATAAGGCGCAACTAGGGGAACTTAATAAGGTTTATAGCACCCCTGAGTTCAAATGTAGCACTCCTGATTTTTTTTTTTTTAGATCTATATAATCTAAAATAATTACAGTAAAATTCCATTTAATTTAATTTTCAGAAATTTCAGCACCCCCAATATTTGGGCTCTGGTTGCGCCCATGGACTGTATACTTAACGGTGCGAGCAAGCGACGTCTCTACCGAGTAACAACTGGTAGGTAATAATCATTCAATGGATATTTTAACAATTTGTTGTACGGAAGTAAACGGATGGTGATTGTACGTAGTATCAAATAAGATTTGTCGAATTCATCGATCACAGCTTTGGTTCATTCTGGAATTAACGGAGTATAAACCGTCGTTCAACTCGAATCGAACCACGTGTGCACGCATAGCGGTGTATTAAAACACTGAACGAAACCATAAACCTAATGTCCATGTCGCGAACATTTTTAAGTTTTCGTGCTGATCGGTTGAATGTTTATCCATGAAGTTAGAGCATGTGGACGTTACATCGACTGAGAATCAACAACACGTAGTCGGATGTAAACGTACGTGATCCGATATCGAGGTGCCTGAGAAAAAGCGAATTTGAATTAATTTCGTTTGCAAAAAACCGACGACTTCGTTTTGTCGACTATTGACCGTTGTATTCCGTTCTTGGTGTTTTCGTAATTTTTCGATTCCGACATCTTGCGATATCTCGCGAGATATGTTCCACGCATATACTACCATTCCGAGAAAATTGTTTATTAAATAATATACAAACGGATTCAGAGTGTTAAATATGCGAAAACTTAAGACGGTTTCGAGACGACTTATGTAACGGACGCCATTGATTAATTATTTTTAAATCCCATCATGGCTGCGCCATAAAATTACCCTTTTCGTCGTCTAGTGGACACGAACCCGTCTCGAGACGTGATCTCGCATCATTCAAATATAAATTTCCGACGTTCGTACAACGACTCGTGTATTATAACCAACGTGCGCACGTTTTCGTTACAAGCTTATGAAAATATTATTATTTCCATTGGTATTTGTATTTTCGGCGAGCGCGTAAGAAGTGCGTGCAGAAAATATTCCGCAGTCCATTCCGAAAGAAGAATTACCCATGTCGGCCGTGTATTACATTGTTGTCGTATATGCGTGTAATTAAAATACGATTGACGCGTAAAACTTTACATAATTCATTTAACCCGTTCCCCGTCCTCTCGTCACCGCCTCCGTAAGAGTTACGGCGAAAGAGGTTTAAACCTGTCGCGCGTGCAACTAAATTATGTACGGCGAAACAAGGTCTTATCCGGATCCGTTGGGATTTACTCGCGTTTTGGGATTGTGTTATCAATTGCGAACAGATGACCCGAAAATGGCGACAATATGTGGGTGTTAAAAATGCAATCATTTTACCCTTAAAAAAGTACATTTTTTATCCGAGATCGTAACTTTTAAAAAGGTCCGAGGTGATTTGCAAATGGTGTTTTTTGCAAAGGACAAAATACGTACACGCACACATTCTCACACACACACGTACTACGAATAAGCGCATGTGTAATTCGTACCGTGTGCACGCATGTGTAAGAGTGATATGATTTGTCCAGTTTTTATTTATGTCGAGGAATTACCTTTTTCGAGGAAATAATTAATATTTATTTGGATTGATATTCGCTAGAGTTTATTTGATGTTTTTTCGTTATTCATTTTTTTCTTTCATTTTGTACACGAGAATTCGAAAATTAAAAAAAAAAAAAAATATATTTCAATTTCAAAGGACTCGATTATATCGCCAGTTACGCTTTCATAACTAGTGAGACCCGAAATATGTACATCAAATAATACAAGAATTTAAATAAAGAGTTTGTAGAAAAAAGAGAAAAATCTTTTATGTTCCACACAAAATCTTTGAATTCTATATTTTACATTTAAAGTATATAGTATATGCATTATTTTCAGGGATTTATTTTTAAATATTTTTCATTATTTATGAATTAATCTAACCTAACCGAAGAGTTTCTCCGGTGTGTTTCCATTGTAATGTATGATTTCATGTATACTAGTTTATCTCTTCGTAACAACACATGGGATCATTAAAAACAATAAGCCTTCGATTATCGTACGTATATAACTTGTGGATGTTGTATGATATTATAATGCACAGACTTTTTTTTCGCTCGAACTTCAAAAAGACAACAATTCGCTGCTAATAAATAATATTTCTATTCATGGTTTATTAAATTTTTAAATTCCTCATTCCCCATATGTAATAAATCAAACCCTCCAAACCGATTAGAAAATTAAAACTGTAATAGAAGAAGCAACAACATACTATAAAAGATTCCATAATCATCAGCATCTCATTCCAATCCCCTAATTAAAGGCCTCTACACAAAAGTTATTAAAAATTAAAAATTATATAATTCTCCAAGGCGCTTAAAATGCATTTGTTGTTGAGATTTTTTAATTTAATCTGAACAA